AAATAATAAATAAAAATAAAAAATATTTCTCTTGCATAATAGTCTAGAAGTGGTCATTCCAGGTTAGTAGGGCAGCTCTTCTCTAAAAAGTCATCTAGGGGCTGAGCTTCCTTTTGTAGCCATGGAACAGCCTCAAGCTGATGAATCATTGCTTAAGTTGTTACAGGTCATGCAGAGCCCAATTGTCCAGGTATGCGCAATAGAAAGGGCTTTCACCTCCTAATCGTTACCACCAGGCTGGCTGACCAACTGCATTGGCATCACCTGGGACTAGATGGGCAGGTCATAAAGGCTTGACCCACCCTCAGACTGGGGAGACAAGTTTGACTGTTGCCTCTCTCCTATCTTCTTGCCAGTTGACTGGTGATAAAACTTTTTTCCCCCTCAAAAGCCAGTGCCTGGCTTCTATGCATTATGACCCAGCATGTTATGGGCTTTTTCAAACCACTGTACGTTCACGCTATGCCTATTTAGTAGTTCCCCTTTATCCGAGGGCTGCGTGTTCCAAGACCTTAGTGGATACCTGAAACTCCAGATAGTACTGATTCCTCTATAAACCATGTTTTTTTCCTATACACACATACTTATGAAAACGTTTAATTTATAAATTAGGTACAGTAAGAGACTAACGACTAATAAGACAGACCAGTTACAACAGTGTACCGTGATAAAGGTTATGTGAATGTGGTCTCCCAAACATCTATCTGTACTCTACTCACCTATTTTCAGACATTGGTTGATAGCAGGTAACAAACTGGAAGGTGAAATTTCAGTTAAGGAAGGGGAATACTGTATTTCATTAGATCCACTTTTTTTCTTTTTTAAAAAAATATTTATTTATTTAGAGACGGAGTTTCTCTCTTGTTACCCAGGCTGGAGTGCAATGGCGTGATCTCGGCTCACCGCAACCTCCACCTCCTTGGTTCAAGCAATTCTCCTGCCTCAGCCCCCCGAGTAGCTGGGACTATAGGTGCATGCCACCATGCCCAGCTAATTTTTGTATTTTTAGTAGAGACAGGGTTTCACCATGTTGACCAGGATGGTCTCGATCTCTTGACCTTTTGATCCACCTGCCTCGGCCTCTCAAAGTGCTGGGATTACAGGCTTGAGCCACTGTGCCCGGCCTTCTTTCTTTTTTTTTTTTTTTTTAAATACAGTCTCACTCTGTCACCCAGGCTGGAGTGCAGTGGCACCATCTCGGCTCCCTGCAACCTCTGCCCCTGCCTCAACCTCCCAAGTAGCTAGGATTACAGGCACATGCCACTGCATCCAGCTAAATTTTGTATTTTTTGTGGAGACAGGGTTTTGCCATGTTGGTCAGTGAGGTCTTGAACTCCTAATCTCAAGTGATCTACACATCTTGGCCTCCAAAGTGCTGGGTTTACAGTTAAGAGCCACTGTGTCCAGCAGATCCACTTTTTAACAGAGTAGCTCACTCACAAAAAACGCTCTCATCCTCTCTCCACACCCTGCTCATTGCCTTCCCTGGTTTCAGTAGAGGGGAAATACTTTCTCTTCCTGAAAGCCATGCCTCTGTCAGGAGAGGAGAGAGGTTAAAGATTGAGTCAATTGGCAATGGATTACTGGCAATGGCCGGTGATAGAATCAACCAGGCCTACATATGACTATGTATAAAACTGCCATTAAAATTTCTACACAACAGGGTTTTGGGAGCTTCTGGGTTGGTGATGCATTGAGGTGCTGGAAGGGTGGTATACCCAGAGAGGGCACAAAAGCTCCACTTATCCCGTCCCCATACTTTGCTCTATGTATTTCTTCCATTGGCTGTTCCTGAGTTGTATCCTTTGTAATAACCTGATGATAGTAAGTAATTCACTTTCTTGGGTCCTGTCAGTCATTCTAGCAAATTATCAAATCTGGGAAGGTTGTGGGAATCCCCGAATTTATAGTTATGTCAGACAGAAGTGTGGGTAACTTAGGGACCCATACTGGACGCTGGCCCAGGTCATATAAGTGAAGGCAGTCTTGTGGGACTGAATCCTTAAACCTGTGAGTCTTATGGTAACTCTGGGTAGTTACTGTCAAAATGGAATTGAATGGTAGGATACTCCGTTGGCGTCAGGACGGGAAGCAGTTGTGTTGTAAAATGGTGCAACCACTATGGAAAACCATATGGTAGTTCTTCCAAAAATTAAAAATAGGCCGGGCACAGTGGATCATACCTGTAATCCCAGCACTTTGGGAGGCCAAAGTGGGCAGATCACGGGTCAAGAGATCGAAACCATCCAGGCCAACATGGTGAAACCCTGTCTCTACTAAAAATACAAAAATTCGTCAGGCGTGGTGGCAGGTGCCTGTAATCCCAGCCACTCAGGAAGCTGAGGCAGGAGAATCACTTGAACATAGGAGGCAGAGGTTGCAATGAGTGGAGATCATGCCACTGCACTCCAACCTGGGCAACAGAGCAAGACTCCATCTCAAAAAAAAAATTTAAAATAGAACTGCCATAAGATTTAACAGCCCCACTTCTGGGTAGAGATCCAAAAGAATTGACAGTAGAATCTGAAACAGATATTTGTATACTCACATTCATGGCAGCATTATTTGCAACAGCCAATAGGTGGAAGCAACCCACGTGTCCATCAATGGATGAATGGATAAAATGTGGTCTATTCATACTATGCAATATTATTCAACGTTACAGAGGAAGGAAATCCTGTCACATGAACAGCAACATGGACTAACCTTGAAGACATTACACTAAGTGACAAAACCAGTCACAAAAGGACAAATACTATATGATTTCACTTATATAAGATATCTACTGTTGTCAGAGTCATAGATAAAGAAAGTTGAAGGGTAGTTACCACGAGCTGGAGGTAAGAGCAAAAAGGAGTTGTTTAATGAGTACACAGTTTCAGTTCTACAAGATCTGGAGATCTATTTCACAACAATGAAAATAACACTTAAAAATGGTTAAGATGATAAATGTTATGAATTTCTCATACACTTAAAAACTGAAAAATTTCTCTGCCCCTTAAAAAAACTGAATTTGTCTGATTTTTAGCCTCTATAGATACCCCAAACTTGCATTAATCGAGGTCATCTAAGGTGATGTACATTTCAAGCAAACAGTCTTTTTTCCAAACATGGTAATTGAGAGGGCACCTTATAATATGAGAGGTGTTGTAAGGGCTTGACTACAAGACAACTCTTTTGTTTTGTCTTGTTTTTGGAGTTTCTTCTTGTTGCCCAGGCTGGAGTGCAATGGCAAGATCTCAGATCACTGCAACCTCTGCCTCCCGAGTTCAAGCGATTCCCCTACCTCAGCCTCCCAAGTAGCTGGGACTACATGCATGCACCACCATGCCTGGCTAATTTTGTATTTTTAGTAGAGATGGGGTTTCTCCATGTTTGTCGGGCTGGTCTCAAACTCCCGACCTCAGGTGATCCACCCACCTCAGTCTCCCAAAGTGTTGGGATTACAGGCGTGAGCCACTGCACTCGGCAAGACAGATCTTTTTTGGGGATTTTGTTTTGGGGGGAGTTGGGGACTTCAGGCTCATATGGTACCTTGCCCAGAATGCACAGCTTATGGGCCTTGTGAAGCCGGCATGAGAACCCAGGACTATCTGACCCCAAAGCTGGAGTTCTATTTTTTTTTTTTGAGATGGAGTCTCACTTTGTTGCCCAGGCTGGAGTGCAGTGGTGCAATCTTGGCTCACTGCAACCTCCACCTCCTGGGTTCAAACAATTCTCCTGTCTCAGCCTCTCGAGTAGCTGGGATCACAGGCACCTGCCACCATGTTAGCCAGGCTGGTCTTGAACTCCTGACCTCAGGTGATCCACCCGCCTCGGCCTCCCAAAGTACTGGGATTACAGGTGTGAGCCACTGCACCCGGCCTAGAGTTCTTAATCATTGGACCTTGGTACCTTTGCAGCCATGGCCACAGCTATTTGTGGAATTAATTGGACAGGATTTGGAAGAATGCTTTGCTGCTTTCCTTTTCCAGAGGCCCCAAGCCTCTGATCACATTCTTAGTTGGTTGATGCTAAATCCTGGTCTGGGGCCAGACAGCCAGCCTAGAGTAGAGTTGGATTCCAAAGAAGGGTTTGGCCCTCATCTTGAATAGCTGTACAAGTAGAAAAATACTGGGACAAGATGTTCTGAGCCTTCTTGGAGCTCCTACATCCATCACCCACTTAAGAATGCTCTCCTGACAGTTCCTGTGGGTTTGGAGCTATGATAACTAAAAACTCCCATGGCTTAGAATGGGACAACCTCCTCTCCTCTGTAGTGGATTACTTCTGTTTCAGCAGGAATGAAGGTGTCAGGCTAGTGGGACTCAATATTGAATACACATTAGAATTACCCAGGGAAACTTGCAAAAACACCAGTGGCTGGGACCTACCCCTAGAAATTCTGATTCATGAGTTGGGGTAGCATCCAGGCAACAGTATTTTTTTTTTTTTTTTTTAAGTTTAATGTGTAGCCGGTGTCAGGAGCTGCTGTCTCAGCAGATGAGCAACTGCAACAGTGGTTGACTGGGGGAATCACAAGAGTATCCCAACTTCTCCTTTACCCCTCTTGTCAGGGTCCAAATTGTTCAGAGACACCTCTAAGGCAAGGCTCCTGTAAGAAAAGAAGAAACACATCTTATTTTTGAAAAAAAACAAAAAAAAAACTAATCTTTTGGTCACAGCAACTGGCCATCCTGACCTCTAAATCATTCCCTGGCCTGATTTCACACTAATTTCTGCCCTTGGCCTTGAAGTTTATGACATTTTTTTTAACACTAGAAATTGGATCTTGCTATGTTTCCCAGGTTGGTCTCAAACTCCTGGGGTCAAGCAATCCTCCCGTCTCGGCCTCCCAAAGCGCTGGGATTACAGGTGTGAACCACCACCACACCCTGCTTGAAGTTTATGATTTTTAAATTGCTGCTAAAAACCTCTCTGCATTTGAGTTTAGACTTATTTTTAGTTTCTACCGATGGGTTTTTAATTTCTTTTCCTTTTTTTTTTCTTTTTTGAGACAGGGTCTGTTGTGGAATACAGTGGTATATATGATCATAGCTCACTGCAGCCTTGACCTCCCCAGTTCAAGTGATCCTCCTGCCTCAGCCTCCTGAATAGCTGGGACTACAGACCTGTGCCACCATACCTGACTATCAGATTTAACATGTTTTTGTGAGTTCCATAATGCTGACACTGGTTCATCTTTGGTGTGAGTCTTGATTCATCTTAATTTTCCCTGGACTCTGTCCCAGTACAAGCTAGATGTCCTATGTCTCAGCTCCATCATCTTCCACGTGACTCAGGATGCAACTGCTCAGAGTCAGGACAGCTCTTCTGTCCTAGGTTTCTGTCAGGGTCCCCTGGCTCTACCTATAGCCCCTGATATGTTGTGGCTCTGTGTCCTCGCCCAAATCTCATGTCAAATGGTAATTCCCACATGTCAAGGGAGGGGCCTCATGGGAAGCAACTGGATCATGGGGGTGGATATCCCCCTTGTTGTTCTCATGATAGTGAGTTCTCAGGAAATCTGATGATTTAAAAGTGTGGAACTTCCCCCTTCACTCTCTCCCGCCATCATGCAAGATGTGCCTTGCTCTCAAACTCCTGACTTGGTGATCTACCCGTCTTGGCTTCCCAAAGTGCCAGGATTACGGCGTGAGCCACTGCACCCAGTCTTATTTCCTGCTTCTTATCCAGCCACCAAACTGCCAAAACCCCAAGACGGAAGGAGGAGTACGGAGACAGGCCTACCGAGCTCTCAGCTGACAACTATACGAAGGACCAATCATGCGAGTGAGCCATCTCGAGTGTTCCAGCCCGTGGCACCCTCAGATGACTATAGTTCCTGCTTAGTATCATATGGAGTAGAACAGCCCAGCTAAACTTAGTCAATCCCTAGAAGCATCAGAGACAATAAAATGCCTGTTTAAAGCCACTAAGTTTTGGAATTATTTGTTGTGTGAGAATAGAAAACCAAAACAAGCTGGGCGCAGTGGCTCATGCCTGTCATCTCAACACTTTGGGGGGTCAAGGCAGGAGGATCCCATGAGCCCAGGAGTTTGAAACCAGCCTGGGCAACAGAGCAAAACCCTGTCACAAAAAACAAAAACAAAAATAAAGCACCCACCTAGTCTGAAGAAGTTCTTAGAGATGATTTAGTCAAACTTTTCAATTTTGCAGCTTTAGAAAAAAAATTTTTTTTTTTGAGATGGAGTTTTGCTCTTGTTGCCCAAACTGGAGTGCGATGGCATGATCTCAGCTCACTGCAACCTCCAACTCTCGGGTTGAAGCAATTCTGCCTCAGACTCCCAAGTAGCTGGGATTACAGGTGCCTACCACCATGCCCGGCTATTTTTTTTATTTTTAGTAGAGATGGGTTTTCACCATGTTGGCCAGGCTGGTCTTGAACTCCAGACCTCAGGTGAGGTCTAGTGCAAGGCTGTAAATTCAAAACCCTACAGCAAAGACCACGCAGATAACATTATGAGTGCATTTTCCTACCTCTTCCAAAGGAGCTAGACTCTTTTCAGTTCACTCTCATTGCTGCAAAGTAGAAATATGGTCCCACTGTTAAAAAGCTTCTAGTTTTTAGTATCACATGACACTGGTTAAAATAAAAAATATTAAAGAAAAAAAAGAAAGAAAAAGAATAGCTTCTAGTTTTTTTATGAAAAGTTGTAAATTCCAAGTTTTTATAAACTGCTTTTTAAATTCTTTTAGAGACAGGGTATCATTCTGTCACCCAGACTGGAGTGCAGTGGTGAGATCATAGCTCACTGCAACCTTGAACTCCTGTGCTCAAGTGATCCTCCCATATCAGCCTCCCAAGTAGATGGGACCACAGGTGTGCCACCATGTCCGCTGATTTTTTTATGTTTTGTAGAGACAGGGTCCAGCTATAATGCCAGGCTGGTCTCAAACTCCTGGGCTCAAGCCATCCTCCTGTCTTGGCCTCCCAGTGTTAGGATTACAGGTGTGAGCCACCACACTTGGCCTGAAATGCCCAAACTTGTAAATATTAGGAACCAGTTAAAAACAACACTGTTTATCAAACAAAACACTTCTGCTGTATAAGTGCCCTGGGTGATATAAGGCCCTAGCACAACACCCCAACTATGCCCTAGCACACTTTACAGGCAGGATCTCATTTGACCTCACCACAGTCCTATGAGGTAGTACTGTGATTTTATTTAACAGTGTAGAAAAAGCTCAGAACAATTACATGATCGAGCCAGTATCACTAACTGGTCGGTGATGACACAGGTCTTTGCTTCCAGACAATCTAATTCCAAGCCCATTAACAATTTAAAACTTTATTTTATTTTATTTTATTTTTGTGGGGGGACAGAGTCTCACTCCATTCTTTGCTTTCCCAGACTTCCTTGAAGCCAAGACATGGGCACATCACCCAAGCCATGCCAATTAGAAGCACCCACTTGAGAATATGACCCAGATGATGACTTAGACTCGTCCCGACACAGGGGGAGCAGAGAAGCCAGCCAGAGCCAGTGAGCTGCCACAGGAGCTCTGACGCAGGTGTCCGGGCCCGGCCCAGGACCACTGTGTCAGCATTGCATGCTGTGGTGACTGTGCCTGGGATGTTTTCACTGGCCAGATCTGTGGCAGGTTGCAGTGCTGTGGCATGATCTCTGCTCACTGCAACGTCCACCTCCTAGGTTCAAGTGATTCTTGCGCCTCAGACTCACGAGTAGCTGGGATTACAGGCATGCATCATCACATCTGGCTAATTTTTGTATTTTTAGTAGAGATGGGATTTCACCATATTGCCCAGGCTGGTCTTGAACTCCTGATCTCAAGTAATCTGCCCACCTCAGCCTCCCATTATAGGCATGAACCACCATGCCTGATCATTTTTTTAAAAAGTTATATAAAAGAAAAAAACTTTTATTAAAAGGATGCCGGGTGCCTCTCACAATTTTCTGGTAAGGCAAGACCAGGCTTGGAAGTGACATAGCCAACAACCTCACCCAAAATCCTGCCACAGATCCGGGCCAGTGAAAACATCCCAGGCACAGTCACCACAGTTTGCAATGCTGACACAGTGGCCCTGGGCCAGGCCTGGACACCTGCGTCAGAGCTCCTGCGGCAGCTCACTGGCTCTGGCTGGTTTTTCTGCTCCCCCTGTGCCGGGACGAGTCTAAGTCATCATCTGGGTCATGTTCTCAAGTGGGTGCCTCTAATTGGCATGGCCTCGGTGATGTGCCCATGTCGTGGCTTCAAGGAAGTCTGGGAAAGCACATATTTTATCATTCAATGAATTTTATTTTATTTTTTTGAGACGGAGTTTCGCTCCGTTACCCAGACTGGAGTGCAATGGCGCGATCTCGGCTCACCGCCTTCTGGGTTCAAGCAATTCTCCTGCCTCAGCCTCCCGAGTAGCTGGGACTACAGGTGCGCACCACCATGCCCAGCTAATTTCTGTATTTTTAGTAGAGACGGGGTTTCACCATGTTGACCAGGATGGTCTCGATCTCTTGACCTCATGATCCACCCGCCTCGGCCTCCCAAAGTGCTGGGATTATAGGTGTGAGCCACCGCGCCCGGCCCATTCAATGAATTTTATTGCACACCTGCTGTGAGTAAGGCACTCTTCTAGATGCTAAGGAAATAAGAGTAAGCAAAATAGGTAAAGGTTCCTTTACTTGCAAAACTTCCATTCAAAATACAGGGAGAGAATGATAAATAACAATAAAACAAAGTTTGTCAAAGGGTGATGTGTGCTATGGGGAAAAATAAAGTCAGCCCTGGGGACTGGACCTGCTGCTTTGTAGGGTGTTCAGGAGGTCCTTCCTGAGAAGGTGGTATTTGAGCCGAGCAGCAAATGATAGGCGGGGTCTACCATTTTCAGTGTTTGTGTGTACATAGGCTACTTAGGGCAATGCCCATTTTTTGTTTGTTTGTTTGAGACAGAGTCTCACTCTGTCACCCAGGCTGGAGTACAGTGGCGTGATCTTTGCTCACTGCAACCTCTGCCTCCTGGGTTCAAGCAATTCTCCTGCCTCAGCCTCCCTAGTAGCTGGGGCTACAGGTTCACGCCACCATAACACCCAGCTAATTTTTGTATTTTTAGTAGAGATGGGGCTTCTCCATGTTGACCAGGCTGGTCTCAAATCCTTGGCCTCAAGCGATCCACCCGCCTCGGCTCCCAAAATGATGGGATTACAGGCATGAGCCACCGTACCCGGCACAGTGCCCATATTTTTAACTAGAGAAACACTACCTCCACCCCGCAACCATCATCAGGTCACTTCCATCCTGTCCTTCACGCTCTGTGTGAAGGCAAAGGATTATAGGACAACAGTTTTCTGTGCCCAGCGAAACTGTGGGATCAGACTCCGAGGGCCCAATTTTTACTCTGAAACTCAAGGACTGTCAACCTGGATGTGCTGCCAGAACTGGGGGGAGATTTTGGTTGGAAAGGGTCAGGACTGACGAAAATGGGTATATATGAGAGTGTATATGTGCATCCACGCACTTCTGTTGAGTGTGATGCTATAGATGCTGTGTCTAAAAGCAGTGATTTCAGCCAGGCTCAGTGGCTCATGCCTGTAATCCCAGCACTTTGGGAGGCCGAGGCAAGCGGATCACTTGAGGTCAGGAATTTGAGACCAGCCTGGCCAACATGGTGAAACTCCATCTCTAACTAAAAATACCAAAATTAGCTAGGCATGGTGGTGGGTGCCTGTAATCCCAGCTATTCAGGAGGCTGAGGCAGGAGAATAACTTGAATCCAGGAGGCGGAGGTTGCAGTGAGCCAAGATTACACCACTGAACTCCAGCCTGGGTGACAAGAATGAGCCCAACTCCAAAAAAATAAAAAATCACTTCCAGAAGCTTGCAGATAAGAGAATTTAAGAAATGCAGTTTCCATAATTCTAGTCCCTGCAGTATGGAGAGTAGCTATAAAAGCTTGGGAACAAAGCCTGATCGCCAAAAATACATTGTGAACCTGAGGGCAACACACTTCTGACAGCCTCCTGTCATCAAAGGACAGGTCAGTATATGAGAAATGCATGTGACTTTTGTAAAAGAAAACTAGGTGATTAATTTTTGACATTTGACATCCAGCTGATTTTTGTATTTTTGGTAGAGACGAGATTTCACCACATTGGCCAGGCTGATCTTGAACTCCTGATCTCAAGTGATCCGCCCACTTTGGCCTCCCAACATGCTGGGATTCAGGTGTGAGCCACTGTGCCCAGCCAACAATTCTTGCATATGAAATTTTCATAGCTACTTTCCATTACATAGTTTCTGTTATTTGAGGGTCTTGCTTTTTTTTTTTAAAGAACGGGGGTCTTGCTATATTGCCCAGGCAGGTCTTGAACTCTTGGGCTCAAGCTATTCTCCTGCCTCTGCCTCCCTAAGAGCTGGGATTACAGGTGTGAGCCACAGTGCCTGAGGGTCTTGCTTTTAATCAAGTTAACCCCAGTGATCACAACCTGCGCCATGGAGACTCCAGCGCATAATAATACTCAGGGTATTATGAAACTCACAACAGGCAAGCTGGACCTGCTGGATGTAAGGAGAGAGTGAGTCCTGCTTACCACTGCCACTTGTCAGCTTCCTGTGTGACTTCTTTCTGTCCTGTGTGAAACTGGGGGTGGTTTACACAGCCTTTCCAGGAAAAAGCAGGACAATCTTCCTCTTTGGTTTTTTTATTTTTTATTTTTATTTTTTTGAGATGGAGTTTCGCTCTTGTTACCCAGGCTGGAGTGCAATGGCGCGATCTCGGCTCAGCACAACCTCCGCCTCCTGGGTTCAGGCAATCCTCCTGCCTCAGCCTCCCGAGTAGCTGGGACTACAGGCACACGCCACCATGCCCAGCTAATTTTTGTATTTTTAGTAGAGACGGGGTTTCACCTTGTTGACCAGGGATGGTCTCGATCTCTTGACCTTGTGATCCACCCACCTTGGCCTCCCAGAGTGCTGGGATTATAGGCTTGAGCCACCGCGCCTGGCCTCTCTTTGGTTTTTTTTAAAAGTCCAGATGGTATAACACAAAAACTCCAATGTTCCAATGAAACGTCTCCCCATTGCTG